GGTTCGGTGATTGTGCATATAAAACGGGTGGGGTTCGGTACTCCAAAAAGTTAAGAACCACTGCTTTAGAGTGTACTTTGTAGAAGGTGCAACCCGATTTGGTCTACTTTTGGTCGTGTCTTTAGAACAATTTCGATAATACCTATATTACAATTTTAAATTATCACTTAGGTTAACCAAAGTGTTATGAAAACAAGGTAATTAAAAAGTCTAGTGACAATTTTAGCGCAATTTCCTTATGTTATCTAAAAATAGCTCTGTCGTAGCGTAAATCAAGAGCAGGGTTAGTAAAACCATTGGTTAGTTATTAAAACGTTTTTTATTATTTTTTTTCAGTATTTTACATGTTTTATTTACAATAGAGTTACATGACTAAAAACCATTGCGCGCCTAGCTGCCGAACGTGATGGCGCAGCTATTGAACGTGATGACGCGTGTGGTGTGGTTGGATAAACATGCCTACTAATTCGGTCCAAATTTTAATTAATTCAAAAAAAAATTTGTGACCGAACGAAAGGATATTTTTTTCTTCGGCAAAATTGTTCTAAATTATGGCAGGAATCGATTGGTAAATGTTTCAAGTCGCTAAGTGGTCTGGTTGCCGAGATATGGGCCAAAAACTGCATTTTTTCGAGGTTTTTTGGCTTTTCCGGGAAATCCATGAAAGAAACCCGGAATTTTTATGGCCTATGTTCATCCTCGTAACTTGGTGTCACCCGGTGCGGTACGCACCCCCCGCCCCCACTCGCTACGCCTCTGGTATATGTTATGTATAATGGTAAGGTTTTAGGTGCTTTGACCATATGTGATTTGACCACAGAGGCTTTGACCGTGGTGGTCTGACCACAGTAGAGATTTGATCACAGGGGCTTTTGTCCATACATAGTAGGTATTGCCTTTATAAAGGATTAAAATTTTATTTTAAGGTGCAGCACAACGCATTAACATATTAATTACTCATCATGTGTAAATACAAGTCATCCAGATGAGATTATGCTGCGCGAAATAGTACAACGCGATGTTCAGACAGTTGACTATACAGAAGCACTGACATATTTGCGTGCTATTGCATATCTATCATTTAGTGAACCACACAAGTATTACTTCTTTGATTACATTATTGGCACACATTTTAATCATTATTATGCGCAATTTCTTTGGTCCCCAGAAAAATTCGCCACGGGAAAGGGGGCACACAAAAGTGTGCAATGGGAAAATGCGCCAACAGAAATATGCCAACATAGAAAAAATGCGCTTTTTCCCGTTGCGCATTTTCCGATCAGTCTATATTATTGTTTTACGAAACTTTTTACCTGTGCTTATTCATTTGTATTAATAAAAGAGCCTACCTATCAGGCCTTCCAACGGCCAATGTGAAAAACCTATCTTTAAAGAACCGTGAATTGTGTGCTTTTTAAGCAGCATGTACCCGGCGTCAGTGGCGTAGGCAGGGTGGGGGTGGGAGAGGGTTAGGGGGGTTACAACCCCCCCCCCCCACACACACACACATATGGACCCCTCTGTAAAAAAAAATATTGTCATAATACCACGATCAGTAATACTACTGTTACTTATTTAAATCCATTTCTGAATCAGTATATATGTATAATTGTATATGTATGTTTAAAAACTGACGCTATTTTCACCCTGAGTTGGTTATCCCCCCCCCCCCACACACACACACACCTCACCAACAAAACTGGACAGACGGTAATTGTGTAGAGCGACATCAATGTCACACCTAGGTATACGCTGGGTAAGACAATAGACCTAAAGTGACCGGACAGTGGTGAATGAAGATGAACCTTCCCCCCCCCCCCCCCCCACCCACCCCGAACTGGTGTGTTAAGTACATTTGGGAAAACACGTAATGAGATACTAAAGTACTATGCCGCCAGAATCATAGCTTTTGAAACAGGTAAATCTCTGTGAATATTGTTTTTGGAATTTGGGAAAGAGTGTGAGTGCAATACAGTGATCTAAGTCATATCTTATTATTACGTCAAAAATAAAGAATACAAAAAGGAGTAGCTCATTCAAAAATTAAATATATAAAATGCAAGGCCAATCGTTTCGTTAAAATTAAATACATTGTGAATTATTATTTAGAATGTTTTGGCGTTTACTCTGTTCTATTGTAAAAAGTTTAAGCAATTAAAATGGATTAAAAATCATATCTTTATCCAAGTGACATCCCTCGTAGTGTTATATAGTAACTAGCTGCATACCCGCGATCCGCCATGGTAAATCTTTTTTAAATGTACCAACTTGAGAACAGAACAAAACTAAACACAACACAAACACAACGCAAACACAACACAAACACAAATAAAAACACAAACACAAAAGAAAACACTAACACAACACAAAAGAAAACACAAACACAATGCAAACACAAACGAAAACACAAACGTAACACACAAACACAAAAGAGAACACTCATTAATATGCATTCACATTTTGCTAATGATATTATTGCAACACTAATTTACTCATGGAGGTCCGCAGAATTTGCAGCGTTATATTATAGATATTCAAGAAAGTTTAGGGGAGATCACTACCGGTTTATTTTAAAAGGATTACATGAATATTGCAAAACTGCAAATCTTGAATCAACAACAAATCGTTTAATAATCTCAGCAACGGGTTATACTTAACCGACCATTTATAACTACATACATTATCCAGATTTTAGCAAGATTATTAACAGAGATTACACTTAAGCTTAAATAAATAGCAACTATTTAAATTATCAATATGCCAAATCTTCAACAGAAAATTTAAACGTAAATAAAATTGAAAACAAAGGAGGGGGGGGGGGGTCTTTTCTTGTGGAACGGAAATACTCTTTGCATTAAGTTCTTTCTCTGAAATCCAATCTGCATTCTTGCCAGAGGCGTAGCTGGGGCGTGGGCGTGTATTGTGTAAGAGTAAAATACGAAAAGGGTTGTGGGTGGGGGCGCTTTTTCGCCAACGTAAACGGGAAGGATTTACACCATAACGGTGAGTAGATAAATCGTTTGACACTTACAACAGAAAGCAGTTGTATAAACTAATTGTAGAATGATTCGTGTATCGCTATCCGATCAGTAAAATAGCATACAGTCGGAGCGGGTGGGCGGAATGCGATATTCTTTCCGAAATTTTAAGAGCTAAGAAAATTAATATTATATATATAGGCCTACCAATTATATCATTTTTGATAACTTGTTCCAACAAGTCCTAATACTGCTATTGTTATATAGCTAAGGCCACTAGACCTACTAAACGAGGTAAGAATGGTAACTCGACGACTTCTACTGCTTTGTTACTTTGTTTAACCGAACTGGCAATTTAAAACTAATACGTTTTTATCAAAATTGTTCTTAAGGCACGACCAAAAGTAGACCAAATAAGCTTGCACCTTTTACAAACTACACTTTGAAGCAGGCAACACTTCGTGAGCTCATTTGATTTTTACTTTCTCGTATATACGAAGTATAGAGAAAGTCTTGTAATCGTGCAAAAAAAAATTGAGATTACATTTTACGTTTTACACCTCACTGATACGGAAAAACATAATTTTGCAATCTTGTCCGTATGTCTGTGTGTGTGTCTGTGTGTGTGTAAACACGATAACTTGAGTACCGTTACAGCTAGGTTGATGAAATTTCATATATAAGTATTTTATCAAAATAGTAGATCCGTATGAAGTTTTGAGCGATTTCCGATAACCGGAAGTGGTACTTTTTCTACTTTGATTTTTTCAAAAGCCTATAACTAACGTACTATTTAGGATAGATAAATGAAATTTCACATGTAAGTAAAAGATCTAATTCTCTACCTTCTATCAAATTTTGAGTAATTCCTAATTCCCGTTGACCGGAAGTAGTAATTTACGCTATTTCCAATTTCTCGAAAAAAAAACGCATGTAAATTTAATTTTAATTTATAAAGTACTAATAATATTGCGCACTATTATGCCCATCTTTATTTGGCGTTCACTTGATGTGCAATTCTTTTTCCACGAGATTTTATTCTATTTTAAAAAGATTAAGCATTTAAAATGGATTAAAAATCATGTCTATATCCCGAGTTCCCATCCCCTGTTGTTTTGTGTAAGAATATTCGAGAAAGTGTAGGGGAGATCACTCGCGGTTTATTATGAAGATGGAACCCTAAAAATCCAGTCTCCCCATCCATTTCAAACGATTTCCTTCATGTCTTTTTTGTCTCCCTTTCTTCATCTTTCCCCGAGCGCCGTTAGTTAAATATCTAATTTAAACGGGTTATTTAGAGTATATTCCTTTAAAAAAATAAGTAGATCTACACTCTACACAAATAATGACAGAATATTGAATAATGATGTAGGCCTATGATTTGAAAGTTGCATGATATATCATGGAGGTCTAGATCTAATTGATTTTAAACTAATGTTTCAATTATTTGAAATGCTTAAAGATAAACTTAAAATACTTTGGATTGTTTTAGAAAATTGCCATGGTCCAATGTTCCCCCACCCCTCGCACTTGTGAAAATTTGTCGCTATTTTTTTTTTTTTTTTTTTTTTTTTGCGGGCGGTAGATCTATCTATGAGTCTATAGAATTAGATCTACATCTCAGATACATTTATTCACCCATTGAGCTGGTGTTTTAAACACGAGAACAACCAATTTAATTCATACATTATTTTGACCCGACCCCTCCAAGTCCACAATAGTGATTTTTTTTTCGGACAACCCCCCCCCCCCCCCCCCCCCCCGTGTGGAAAAAAAATTAATTGAGATCCAAACAGTTTATTTTTATGGTGAAAACAAAAAGCTAAGCAGTAAAGTTTGGGGGCCTCAAAAATAGCCTCCCCCCCCCCCGGATGCAGCCCTCTTAGCTCGCCCCCTTCCCCCCCCCCCCCAAATCCACTTCTGAACGTTGGGAAGATTCAATCACCGGTAACAGTAATAGTGGTAATACCCATACCGTCATTTTCTGGGAAATAACATAGACTATATAGATCTATATTATATATAGAATACTCAATTTATGAATTTAGGTTTACACTAACTGCGTCTAGTGTCTAGCTAGCTAGATCTAGATCTTCTTGATCTATCTTCTCTAGATCTAGACCAGATTCTAGAGTAGATTTGGCGTACAAGCGTACATACATAAGTCCTAAGGTAGATCTTAAGTATTAGATTCTAATATTATTTACTATTTAGAGATCTAAATCTAGATCTAGTAACTAGTCTAGTGTAGTAACTAGTAAGGATCTACTAGATCTAGATCTACCTACTAGATCTAGATCATAAGATCTAATGATAATCTAATCTAGATCTATCTAATGAATGATCTAATCTAAATCTAGATTATCTAGATCTAGCTAGTGGTAGGTCTAGATGTAGATCTAGATCTCATCTAGATCTAGCTAGATCTAGATTAGATTCTAAGCATAATGCTTAAACTGCTTAAACTGATTAAAATTTACAAAATTTACTGTTTCAGTTATCGTGATGGCGTCTGAAGTAGAGTTGGCACAATCTGCACAACCGGGAGGAGATACAATATTTGGAAAAATTATACGAGGAGAAATAAAAACAAATTTTTTGTATGAAGATGAGCAGGTGATTTTATATGATTATATCTAGATCTAGAATCTAGATTAGATCTAGGTAAAACCTAAGTTTTGCGTCGTAAATTCCAACGTAGCTAGCTACTACTAGACTAGCTAGATCTAGTAATGTAATAATGTGCGATGGAGGTAACTAATGAATATTTCTTTCTGTCTTTCATTTCAAATGATTCATTTGGCCATATTTATGACATATTTTACATAATATAACAGATAATTGAATAACATCACAATCCATGACCAAACCAGTCAAAAATATCCTGGAATAAACTTTAAACTACCCCGTTCGAGACAACTATGAGTAAATACAAGCAGTGGCCATGTTTGCCTTGAAAAATTGTCTATTCGCATGTCTGTTGTGTTGATTTTGTGGTTTAATATGGTTGTTTTGTATTGTTTTAATATATGCCTGTAGTCCTATAGTAATTTTTCTTTTTTTTTCAATATAGTTGATATGAATGACTAATACTAATAGACCTTTTCAGACTCAATAGTGTGCATCCAAGACCACAACAATTGTTGGGAGGTCGAACTTTTGAACACTTTTTTTTGCAGTAATCAAATCAATATTAGATCGCCCATAAATGACGTCGCTTTTAAGATAGAAATGACAGCGTGCATTATTACAGAACAAACATATAAACATATTGTTTGAGATATAAATTGTGATTTGTGGTGGGGAGAGAAGTAGAACTCTGCGATGTGATTTTGAGATGGGTCAGTTTTTTCTTCTGAAAACGGGATGGTTGTAGGAGAAAGACCAGCTGTAGAAGTATGACGCGTCATTCAATGGTGATCCATTTTCTCAGTGGGGACGATAGAACTATTTAGAAGGGTCAAGAAATTTAAAAAGCATGCTGAGTCGCATTTCTTGAACCCCCACCTTTTCATTCCCCCACTTAGCACATCGTCACCGAGTTAACGCTCGCGCGTGACGTCATGTGCCGTACCACCGACCGTTTGGCTAATTTTATAGAAAAGAAAGAAAAAAAACAAGCACTGTCGTTTTGACACTTATGCGGCGTTTAATTTGATTACTTATGTTGGTATTCAATTAAACAGCCCCTCACACATCTATCCCTTGCCCATTTAAACATAGGTGGTTATTTCTGCAAGCTTGCTGTCTTGAGACTTTTGGCCTTTTAAAAAAAAGTATTAAGCTCCCACCGTATAGAACTAGACTACCCAAATTAAGCTCCAAAAGAAGCTTGATGAAAACGGGATGGCCGTCCGATTTTGAAGCTGCTCTGCGCTTTATAAAAAGCACAATAAACGATAACATGACTCTTACATTAAAGTAAACTATAGTTCTGAATCTTGATACATTAAAAGTGATATTCGGAAATTAAGAGCCAGACAGTCAACATGATATTTCAATTTAAGTCCAAGAAAATAAATTTCCTCAAACGATGGAACATCACTAAATTTTCGCGCGGTTTTGCGAAATTGAATTAAAGTATTTATGGCATCTTACAAAGCGCAATAGCCTACTGGTGCTCTAACGCGTCCCCGTTTGGTTCGTCGGACCCTGGCCCCATGCTGAGGGCCGTGTTCCTAACGCCCCGCATTAGACGCTGCATATTTGTCGGCAAGCATTTGGTTGCAAGCGTTTTTGACTGGGATATGTGTTGAGGCCGTTTTGCCAAACGTCTCAAACTAGCAGGCTTGCAACATTTATAATGATTCGTTTTGAGCAGGGTATACGTATAGGCCTACTAATGCTTATTTATCGTTATTTTGATTGAACATAGCATATAAGAGGTTCTCCATCAATCACCTATTTTTCCCCGTTCACCTCCTTTCATGAGACCAACACATCATAATTTGCGGAGCCGCGTGAGTTGACATAAAAAAATCTTTACTCACTCCCGTAGCAAATCATATGTGACATCATTTATGGACAACCCCATATCATTCATTTTGGCATTTGATATTGACATTTTGACAACAAAGGATAACCAAAATGTATCTGAAAAGTGTAGACTTGGAATCACGACAACACGCATTTGAGGGGTGGAGTGGCTGATTGTTTTAGATGTTTTACGAGGGAAGCAGGTGGATAATACATTTTGTCTCTCTGTATATATAAATGATGACAAACATATTTTTTGGTCATAATTATGGCTAGAGATCTTAGATAAGGCAGAGCGAAGCGTAATTTTTTACATTATGACTTGTGACATTGACAACAAAAATATGTTTGAGGTTGGGGTTTAATTAACCCTTTATTTACGGAATTATGTTCTGAATGAGATTTTTACTTAAACAATGTGTTACTATATTGCTTTTGGCACATTCAAAGCATATGTCGAAGGAAATTTCGTTTCATAAATTTTTAATGGCCCAAACAGATATTGGTACTTATAAGTACCGTCAGTAAACTAGGACATTTTTTTTCAAAAATTTTTTTTTTACAAAACAGGAACAAACGATAAAATTTATTAACTAATAACATGGCAATCATCATAACAACCACATTTTGTTATTTTCACACATAAATACAGCACAAAAGTATATTTTGAGTACGATTTTTACTGGATTTTCTATGGGAACACATCTTAGACCTCATACACAGCAAAAGTAGTCGACATGTCATGCTCCCTCAATCTTGTCTGTGGTCTTTCTGGTGTAGCAACGGTTGCCGGAATGAATATGCTTTTGCTGGAAACTTCCAATAACTAGTACAATGAGCCGCATAGACAAACAAAAGCCTAGTCATTCAGCACACAACTACTAGTAATACTAGTATAATTGTAGCCTACTAGAATGTTATGACAAGTCTACACTACAGTGCAAAGTTAATAAATAGAAGTGAGCTCAATGTGTTTAGGATAGCAGTAGTGGATTACTCTTTTCTGTTAACTGATTAAAATTTACCTTATAGATCTATACTATATGCATAAGTATGGACTATTACTAGTCTACATGTATACATTACGTAAATGCTAGTTATTGTTGGCAAGACAGTTTATTGCAGTAAATATAACTAACAAATTAAATCTAACTACTAGAACTAGGCTTTGGTATACAAATGCAGTAAACTAAACCTTGTAAACGAGCCTGCAACTGATACCTTTATTCTTGTTATTTTTTACTAATAGAAATTAACATGTAATTACAATATTTCTTAGGTAAACCTTATGCAAACCTTCTTATAAATGTGTAAATATCATTTTTTGAGTACATTTCGATAATTTATTATCAAGACAATATTTATGTAACTTCACTTAACAAATCTGCCATTTTCAAAAATCCTAAAAAAATGACAGTGTGCCCTGACGGTACTTATAAGTCCACTTGTAAACATCGATCTAATACAAAGACAATTTGATTAAAATTGTATAACTAGATGTTAAACGCGTTTGCCTGACTATTGAAGGTGCCAATAAAAAATATTTGGGGTTGAAAACTTGAAAAATAAGGTAAAACAAAGGGAATTCAGGAACGTGTGTGAGAACTGTACAGAACAATTGTGAACTACCGATATAGCAAGACATTGAAAATGGCGCCACACCATTAATTTTAAAAAAACATTGATACCTCCGACTACCGGCGACTCAGGGGAGATAATCCTATTAATTACCTCAATAATTTTTAAAATTCGTATTAAATTAAAAATAATACAGGCACTTTATTAAAGTGGTACTTATAAGTACCGTCAGTAGATAAAGGGTTAAGGTAAAGAGAAGTAAAAAAAATGTCATAAGTTATGATAGAATAACTAATTGATGAAAAGAAAAACCTGAAATGAAAATAGTAAACATTCAATTTTCAAACAATAGGAAAAAACTATAAATGATCAAATAATTATTAGTACAAAAAAACGTAATTTTATACATGGATACAAATACAAGTTGCATCTCACAATACTTCTAGAACTAATAAACTTGTTTGTTAGGAAATTCGGTTTTTAAAGGGAAGAATTTTTTTTTTTTTAAATGTGTAGGACGGACTATACAACCAGACAATCATATTTAAATACATTTTCATACTAATAGAAATGAAAGGGAAGCTACTCTAAACAACATTTTCTTAAGATGGCTGCTGTTTTTAATAGCAAATTTACTATCTTGAACAGGGTTGATAAAAATTAATTTCAGGGTATTTAAATTGATTTAACCATCAATGATGATCTATTATTCAATTATATATAGTATTTTATTAAAATATACGAACATAAACTCATATTTAAAGACATATACATAAATTCACTCTCTCCCACATTACTAGTTTTGGCCGAATTTAAGACGCTAAACTAAGGTTTTACCTAGATCTATATGATATAATAGATTTAAATAAATAAATCTATATATATAATTCTCTTCTGGGAGACGCTAGAAAACAAGCTCCCACCCCTACATGGTCTGGTGAGCTGTGGTTCACTCTAAATGTTTACAAACAGAGCCGGGATAGTGACGACTATTAGGGGCAGATAATTTAGTTTGAAACGATTTTAAACGTAGGGGGGGGGGGGGGGGGTAACTAAGTGTAGTTTACTTTAACGGAGGGGGGACGACAGTGTTTCTTCCAGACTTTTGTTAAAAGTATATATTTTCTATATAAATTCTATTAATTTTATTTCGTTGGGGGGGGGGGGGGGGGGTATCGTCCTTAACGAGCTACTTAAAGTGTTTTAAAGAAATATTTTCAGTGGCAGCGTTGGTAGTGTCGAATTCACAAATTATGAATAACTGAAAAGTAGAAAAAACAACAACTAAATAGCAGTGTATGATATGCCGCGAGTCGGCTCGTATTTAATATTAGGCCTAGATCTAGTCTAGAGGTAATCTATCGGTTTGGGTACGTAAAATCGCCAGCAACTAGTAATGTGAAAAACAGGTGACTCCTTAGATTTTAATAATTATTTCACATTTTGAGGAGGATTTATATTTTGAAAAATACAAAAATGTTTCCTTGTTTCATTTATGTACCTGTTTTTAAACAAATGAATTAAAACTTTTCAGTAATAAATGAAGACTAGCGATGTTTCCAACAGATGCAAATATGCTCATTTACTATAGCAGCCATCTTGTTTAAGTTTTTTTTTCTAACCTTCTTCTTCTTCTTCTTCGTTCTTAATTATTAGTGGTGAAGGGGATCGAGATTTATCTGCCAGTGGGTTTGAACTCGAGACTATTTTTTGAATTTATCAACCATGAACTTTTTGCCGACTCGACCACGCCTCCAACACAATTATGCGTTACGTGTCAACTGGTTATGCGCCATTGAGGCCATTGACTCCGATTTCAGCCTGCTTTTCTTTTTGGATTTGCTTCCATAGCCTTTGTCCAACCAAGAACAAACTGCAAGGCAGCAGTTGTTTGATTTTGGAGTTGTCTCTTCTAGAAGAGTGGTTGTCCCTAGCTAACGGGCCTCATCTGCCCGAGGGTTCGAACTCTAGACTTTTTGGTTTAGCAACCATGAGGTTTACCGACTCGACCATGCCAACCCCTATTCCACTTTAACTTTGTAGGCTTTAGTAAAACAGGCTTACAATTTTAAATATGTAAAAGAATTATTTAATTTTAACACAAACTTGCCCAACCAAATTATTTTTTGTCTCTGTGTGATGAATGATTCCTTCTTGAAGCATTATTCTCCCCTCCCACTTCTTATCCACCGACCCTCAAATGCAGGTAAATTTCTATTGCCCGCTCCCAGACTCTTTCACAGCCCCAGGGAGGTGGGGGTGGGGTGACATCGCCCACTTTGGAAACCACCTATCTAGATTATGAAAAGATTTTTAAAAATAACACTTGTGTTTTGATCTATTATAGTTGAAAACTTTTAAAAACAACAATAAAACAACCAAAACCAGAAAAATGTCTTGCAAATTATGTCTCGTTATTGACTCGTAGTCACATTTTACCAACACACTTTTATTGTAGTATGTGCTAGAAATTAATAAATGAACCAGGTATTTATTCACACCAAATAATTTTTAATTTTAGATCTAGTCTGGATCTACCTACTTTTATTAATTTTAAGGTTTTTAGCCTACTATTAGTAATTACAAGCAGTCACTTGTCCATTGTTGTTAGCTGTAGCTGACATTAGAGTTGTAGTTTTTGTTTGGAATAAAAAAAATTCTCAGTTAACCTGCAGTTAAATGGTTAAATTTAGAATTGTTTAGAGGATAATCAAAACATCAGCAGCAGACATTTGGAATTTTATGTAACTACTTATGAATCTTTAATAAAAAAAATTTATCATTAAATTGCATTTTTATTTGTTTTACAATTACATTTAACAAATTTATTTTGCAGTGTGTAGCTTTCAATGATATTGCTCCACAAGCTCCAGTCCATTTTCTAGTTGTACCCAAGAAACAAATTGTTAAGCTCTCAGATGCACAAGACTCTGATGAACAGGTACTTCCAGCTTGATATATATTCCTTTGAAGAATGTCCTAAACTTTTTCTTGACTTACCAGATTTGTGTTCTGTGTTGTCCTTATCTTATAGTGATCCCTTCCTTGTCAGCAGAGTTTTAATATTGTCTGCATGCATACTTATGCAAATTAATTGTTAGATCTTTATGCAGACATACTGCAGTATGATATATTATCAGGGGTGAAGGTTTGGGGAAAACCTGGTTTAGATTTCTGATAGTGTTCCAAACTTTTAAAGCTAAGAGAGGCATGGTATGGTTGAACACATGCTTGCTAACTTCAAAGTCATGGGTTGTCTCTGTCACTTATGGGAAGCACTGTAAATGAACAGCAATTGATCAGTACAGGAACTCATTACTTCATTATTTACATTGTTTACAATGATACCTACGAGCATGCAAAAAATTAGCCAGATATACTGAGTTTAAGTACCCTAAAATCCGCGTTGAAATGACACTCTGTTTTTCCCATAAAATACAAAGATTATATACGGAAATACAACTGGTTAGTTTTGACCCATTTCCAGATTTTTCCTGGACATGGCGAGTTTTTTGTGACACCCCTAGGCGTTCTCCTACCACCTCACAAAATTTCAAGGGGTGTCGTCGGGCAAAGTTTTTTTGTAATATAACCCATATAAGGCGCCGGTCAGTCGAGGTCAGTTTTGACCCCTTTTCTTCGTGGACTTTTCGGCCAACTGGCATCGGCTCTCGTGTTCTATCACCCCAAGGCAGACTCATGCCGAATTGTGTCTGTAAAATGATAACTTGAGTACAGTTAAAGAAAGGTCTATGAAATTTCATATATAAGTTTATATCAAATTTGTAGTTCTCCATCAACGTTTCGGTGATTTCAATTTCAGGTAATCAGAAGTGGGACTTATTCTACTTTTGGTCTTTCAAAACCCTATAACTTGAGTATTGTTTCAGATAGATAGACGAAATTTCACATATAAGTAAAAGATCTAATTTTCTGCCTTCTTTCAAATTTTGAGTAATTTCCATTGACCAGAAGTAGTACTTTATGCTGTTTCTAATTACTCAAAAAAAAAAAACATATAAATTTATAAAGTACTAATATTCCGCACTACACACATTGTTTGCTGTTCACTTGGTGCGGAATTCTTTGTACTACAAGATTCTATTCTATTTTAAAAGTATTTAAAAACTGATTAAAAATCATATATCTATATCCATAGTATTATATAAGAATATTCTTGGAAGTTTAGGGGAGATCACTCCCGCATTATTTTTTTAACCAAATGATACTTAAACAACATTAAATTAATACAGAAACTTATTTTAAAAAAATAAAGCCTCTTCCATATTATCAAATGTTAATCCTTAAATGTATTTTATTTGAACATTTTTAAGACATCTTAAAATTTTTAAAATGTTTTTTTTAAAATATATAAAATGTGTCATTCTGAAATGCGCAAGATCGGTAAATTAAAATTTTGATAGCTCTTTTGGGATTTCTTTCTCTTGCAGAGAAAATTTTCTTATACATTTGCACTGTTGATTCTTCAGCTTTTAGGCCACCTACTGATAGTAGCAAGGAAAGTTGCCAAGGATAAAGGTTTAAACAATGGCTATAGAGTTGTCATCAATGATGGTCCTTTTGGTGGCCAAGAAGTAATGCATATCCATGTGCATGTGGTTGGTGGTCGGCAAATGGGCTGGCCCCCTGGATAATCTTTATGCCTACTACAATTTTACAGAAGAATTATTTGTTAATTGTATTTGAAAAATACACTAACACAATATTTTGTTAAATTTAGAATTTCAGTTTCAATTATAACTGTAATTTAGTTTTTTTTTACATGTAATATTACTTTAATCTGTAGCTTCAGTCTAGTGTTAAGTTTTTAACATGACAGTTCCTTTCTGATAGTAGATTTTTAAAAATTAATTATATCTGCTCTGTCTCCAGTTATTGGGCCATCTTCTCATTGTAGCCAAAACAGTTGCTAAAGAGCAAGGCCTAGATAAAGGGTTTCGAATCATCATCAATGATGGGAAAGATGGTGGTCAGTCTGTGTACCATATCCATATCCATGTTACTGGAGGTAGACAGATGGAATGGCCACCAGGTTAGGAAGGGATAAATGTTCCAAGTGAACTGAACTATTTAGGCTACAGTGTTAAAAAGTTTAAAATTTAGCAGATATCTTTTTTGTCAGTTTTAAAATATTTTTCTTCTTTTATTTTTGCATAATATATTCAGTCCATTTTATTATATTTTAAGTTTAATAAATTCTTTTGAAGAATGGTTCTTTGTTTTATTACATAAATTCAATTTTTTAAATTAAAAATGTGAACATTAATGTCTTAAATGATATGTTTTCTATTTAAACCTTCTACGTAATTTTGTAAACAAATAAAATTTAGGTAAAAACCTCAATGAATTCTTTAATTTTAAAATTTGTCAAATAATACATTGTAGAACTAAAACAATACACTTTAAATACACAAAACTATTACGTTACATTAGCATTTGAAAAAGATACACAATAAATAATATAAATAATACAATTAAGTCTTTCAGTCAAAATACTTGTGGACTTAATTATTAGTTTTTCACTAAAACTAAAATTGGGTTTTGCATAAAATAGTTTATACATAATTAAAAAGAACATGTTTTACAAACAAATTAAGATTAAAGTGGCATTATCCTATAAACAATACTATCTTTAAAAAGTGTCTGAGAGACATTACTTATAGTTTATTTGACATAATCCATTTTAGCAATAAACCATTTAATGAAAATGTTTACAAATTGTTCAATAAAGTTACAATTTATAATAATTGAAAAACTCAATATACATAATAAAAAGAGCTGTAGTACATAAAAATAAAAGTACATTTTAAATATATATATATATGTAAATTTGCTTGGTAAAATTTTGGCATAGTTAAAAAAGTTATTTACAGCTTTAGAATGTTGGCCTACTTTAAAGTTCAGTAGATCAAATACATATTAAATAGAAATTCTGACTATTCACTTAATTGGCATAGTAAGGCTGCTCCTTTAGCAATCCAATAATCTTGTGGCTTGTTTGATGGAAGCTGAACAGCAACAACATAATTGGTGGAGTGTCCTAATTATAAAAAAAATAATGTTTTATAGAATTATATTTTATAAATGACTTCTCTATTTAAATAGAACCAGTTTGTGAAACTGGTATTAAAAGTATTCTAATTACTATAAATTTGACATACCGGTGGTGGACAAAACTCCTGCTCTCTCAGCTGTTTTGTAGAGTGGAGCTGAATAAAGAGCATTGTCACATTCAAAGTCCATTCTAGGTTCCATATGCATCATAGGCAAACTTGAGTTCATTTGACCTAGGTGGTATTTTTAAGCAAAAGAAATTGAAAATTAGCATGACAGTTTTATGTACTATATAAAAATTCTTTAAATTGTGATATTACAAACTTTATTTTTTATTAAAATTTTGCGGTTGTTAATTTGAGGCTTCAAATGATTATAGTCTATGACTAAACAAAAACTATCACCCAATTTTAAAATTAACAAGTTGCGATAACAGACCTTTGATAGAGTCTGTACACACCATCTCATCCCAATCCCATCTAAATCCATCCATGTATAGGCCATGGACTAAAACACCATCTTCAGGTAGTGTTATCTGAAATTTTTATGCTTGTACTGGTAAATTCATTAAAATTTTTATTTATTACAAATTATCCTGTATTAAAAATGTCAGATTCATGAAAATAAATCGACATTTTGAAGTATTTCTTCTTGATTGAGTAGGGTGTATAGTTATTTTTGGTGATCAGTAAGCATATAAATCATGGGAAGGTGTGGTAGAGGGCATAATTGGTATCCAAAAAGTCTTGAGTTCAAATCCTAGGCTTGGGTATGGAGGACCTCTGAATCCACTAAGCTCTGATAGGTAACTGACTCAAATGAGGAACAGTGAAAGCAGCTAGGCCTGACAACACTATCCCTTTTGTCTAGGTCAAAGAAACATGTGAGCTCAATATTATGTCTAAAAAAGAAAAGGGTTATATTTACTTCTTTTTATGCCAATGTGAAGCAAGAATGAAAAATTAGCAAGTAAATCTGCTACTAATAAAAATGACACCATTTTTAGGTGAGATTCTGGTAAAATAACCATCTATCTTAATATGTCTACATTTTGGAAAACATTATTTACCAGTAGCTGAATAAACTTTACTATTTAAAAAAATAATTACTTCTTTATCCATAGCAATTTCTTCTCCAAATTTAAGATTTTGCATCTGGACTGTTACTTCAGCCTGATCCCTGTAAACCTTGATCATATTATATTTAAAACTCAAGTGGTCAATAGGGAGGTTGTACTTTCTAGCATAATTTTGCAGAGTGCCCGTCAAAAATCCTGAGGGAAAATATAAGCCAGTATTTATCGGTTAAATAGGGGCGAAAAATGAAATTGATTCTTAAACTTAAAAAGATATATGTATATATCATAATTTTCCACTAATTAATTTATCAAAACATGGACATATATATATTGAAAAAGGCCTACATGTAATATTTAGAAACTGCATCTTTTTAGAGGAAAAATAGTCTATTCTACTAGTAGGGACACTGATAACTTGGGGTAGTAATGGACACATGAAAAGTGTGTGTGTGTATATATATATATATTTATTTATATATATATATATATATAAAAATTATATATATACTCTGTCTCGCCACGGTGAATCTTTTTAAAATGCACTTGGGAACAGAACAAAACACAAACACAAAAGAAAACACAAAAAAAACACAAACGCACACAAACATAAAAAAAAGCAAATGCAAACACAACGCAAAAGCAAATAAAAGCTAAACAGAAAACAAACACAATGCAGACACAAAAGCAAAAAAATACAACCGAAAAAGCAATCACAAACGCATTGCATAAACACAAACTTAAGTGCAAACATAAATGCTAACCCATAGCCCTCACAGCATAGCCCATCTCTAAGAATCGAACCCTAACCGGGCGCCGGTGGAACCTCCTTATTCAATTTAGTGAACCACTATAAAAAACCCAGCTTGTTCACAAACCGAAAGATAGAAGAAAACATAGAGGACATTTCTAAACTGTTATTGATTAAAAATAATAATTAGTAAACAGTACATTCAGTGTATAAAATAAATAAAAGGCGGCATTTAAAATATCTGTTTTACCTACCATATTGCACGTAATCAATCAATGCTAATTATATTATTCCAACAATAATGCCCTCTTAGATGTCCGCGGGATTTGCATTCAAATTTTTTTTTATTAGCGTGAATCGAATTGAAAAACAAAATGTAAACGCAAACACAAATGAAAATGCAAAAAAATACAAACGCAAAAAACACAAATGAAAATGCAAAAAACACAAACTCAACATGCATAACATAAACGCAACTTAAATTCAAACATAAACACCAAATCGCACCCTGATTCCACTTAGTAAACGACTATAAAATACCAACTTATCCATGAAATAAACAAAAGACAGTATTTAAAATATCCCTGTAATAACTACTTTATCAATCCATGCTAATTATAAGATTCCAACAATAATAGACTCTCGGTCGTCCACGGAATTTGCATTCACATTTTTTATTAGCGTGAGTTGAATTTATTTTTTAATTACTTCCCATGGCATAATTATTAAACTTTTTAATTAATTAGTTGTTTTCGATCCTCCTGTTATTAAAGTGTATACAATTTTTCTAGGAAAATAAGCGAAAATATTATTTGACATTGATCCGTTTAATATGTTTTAGCATATATTTTAGCATGTATTTAATATTTTCTATACTTTATGCAAAAGAGTAAAGACTGTGCCAACTATACAAAAAATTTAAGTCGTTATATAAATAAACCCTTCGCCATTAATTATAATAATACAATTTGATGTAAGTAAAATTCACGTCATGTGCTGTTGTTTACTTTTAAAGTTTCAAAATCTATAGCGATGACGGAAGGAAAGAAGGACTGACACACTACCACCAGGACTGACACAATTATATTATAAATATATATATTAACCTTGCGGAAAGAAAAATCCAGAAAGCCAGTATGATTTTGGCAGCCCATGAACAATCCAGTTGTTAATGAAGGCACATCTCAAAACCAAATCTTTTACCCAAGAGCCAAGAGGTTTCAAAGACGGATAAGCAGCAGTAGCCCAAAGTCCTGGGACCTGAAGAAGGAATTTTTACTATTTGCAGAAATATCTCAGATGCATAATCTTTTATACATTTTGGAAAAATGTGTCAAAACTTTTTCAGAGTAATGAGTTATGTGATGTAAACAATTTTTTATTACTTTAATTATAGATTTTAATAGATTTTTAATATTTTTAGAAACAACAATTATATGATAATATAGTTGCAAAAATTACAATAATGTGAAAAAACAATATACTTGGTTATTTAGAAAAGCATTATAAACTCTTTCCAGTTCTTCACTCATAACAACAAAGCCTTTGATGGCTTTCTGTAGTTGTTCTAATGAATTCTGTAAAATATTGGATAAATCACATTTATGTAAATAATTATTGTTATTTGTAACATGGGCATGGTCTATCTATTTCTTCTAATAAATCCAATAAATAGATTTGGCCCTTTAGATTATGGTATGGTTTCATTCTTTTTTGTATTCAATTTAAAAGTGTTTTTTTTTTGTTTGTTTTTCTAAACCTCAATTTTTGTGTGATTAGGAGTTTTAATACAAAAAATTAATAAGTATATATGTCAACCTTGATAACCCTAAGTAGCTTGTTGAATCTGTCAACCTCCTGTTGCAAAACTGTAGTTAGTGAGTTCATACGACCTTTTTCATCAAGCTGAAGTGGAACATTTGTAGAATAAAAATGCTGCTGTGTAAGCTACAAGATATATCAGACTTAAGCAAAGTTTATTATTTAATTTTCCAACAAAGAATTAAACAATAATACCTTAGAATTTTTGTTTAAAATGTCTTCTGTTCATTTAAAAGTATACCTGAAACATCTCAGCAGTTGCTTGTTCAATGTCCAATTTATCCATTAGTTTTCCTTTAATGTTCTCAGCAAGTTCATCTGCTATTTCATCATTGGATTTGCCAGTGCCACCAGATGAAAGACGAGGCTGCACATCTAGTATAGTGCCAATAAGAGCATTTGTTTCATTCATTTGGAATGCAATATTAGCATTTTCATGCATGCCAAAGATTTCTGGTTCATCTATCTGAGGAAGTTCTTCAATGTATTGTCTGTACTCTCCAATAGTATCACACATTGGAGCATAGTATACACCTTTCAGAGAAAAAAAAAGATGTCATTTGCTTTTTGAAATTGTGAAACAAAAAAAAATCAGAAGTTTTAGTTAGTAAAACATACCAGAAGGGGAGTATTTATAACTTGACTCAATAGTTAATGGCTGAAAGAATGTTTTCAGAATTGTTCTCAAGCATCTTTGATCTTGTGCATCTGTTACTCTCCCACCATAAGTTATCTAAATGTATAATAGTTATACAGATTATTAAAAATATTAATGAATCTTGATAATATAATATAGCATTTCAAAAATATCTAATTGTATTCATATGCCAAAATTAAAAATGTCTAGGCTATGCATATAAAAAATCTGAAATAGAAATTACTTCTCCAGTAATGTAAATAAGTGTGTCCCAGGGAATAAATCCATCAGCACAAAACATCTGAAGGTTAAGTAGAGCACATTCTCTGTCACTGTCACTAAACTCATACTGTCAGACAAAAAAAAACATCAAATACCTGGCATATCTATTGGTAAACTAATGTACATTCAAATTTCAAAAGCATGTCATTTAATTGGCTAGTGTTTCACATGCCGAGCATTTATATCAATAATATTATTTTTTGAAGATCATCAAATTATTCCGTTACAGCGATATGGATGATTATTAATAGATGACACTATCATGCCAGTTTATATTAATTTAATGAACATTTGCAAAAATGGAGCTATGACCAAATTAAAATAAAT